CACAAACCTATAACGTTCGCATTCCACGCACGTAAAGAAAAAGGCTCGCCCAGACAACATCGTCACCTGGAATTCATATCTCAGTTTACCACTGACATCCGTCACATTTCGGGAAAGGACAACGTAGTGGCTGACACGCTATCTAGAATAGAAGAAGTAATAGCACCACTGGACTATGCACAGCTAGCTAAAGATCAAGCCGTTGATGCAGAGCTCCAAGATCTGTTAAAAGAGGGATCGTCGCTGCGTCTTACAAAAATCCAAATTCCTGCAACAACAACCAGCGTATACTGTGATATCAGCACTGAACACACTAGACCGTTCATAACAAGACAGTTTAGACGTCAAGTTTTTGATAATATCCATGGCCTCAGTCACCCCGGCGCCAATGCTACAATCAAGCTAATCTCACAGCGCTTCGTATGGCCCGGTATAAACAAGGATTGTAGAGACTGGACTCGATCGTGCTATGCATGTCAACGTGCCAAAGTAACACGCCATGTATCAGCACCTCTAGGCACTTACCAGCTACCTCAAGCCAGATTCCAACAAATCCATATTGATCTGATTGGTCCTCTACCGATATCACAAGGTTACCGCTACTGTCTGACCGTCGTAGATCGCTTTACAAGATGGCCTGAAGTAGCACCAATAACCGACATAACAGCCGAAACAGTAGCCAAGGCTCTACTTACGTGCTGGGTGTCAAGATTTGGCTGTCCTACAGAAATAGTCACAGACCGAGGAACTCAATTTGAATCATCACTGTTCAAACATCTCTCGGAGCTGACAGGTTTTCTTCATAAAAGGACTACTGCGTACCATCCTTCCTGCAATGGATTAGTGGAGAGATTTCACCGCCATCTGAAAGCCGCTATCGTATGCCACGCCAAAGAGAACTGGACGGAGATACTACCGTTAGTTTTACTTGGCATACGGTGCGCTTACAAGGAAGACCTGCAATCTTCCTCAGCAGAATTGGTCTATGGCGAAACGTTGAGACTACCGGGACAATTTTTTGACAGTCCTAGTGTGACACCAACCAATGATGTGTCTGACTTTATTGCTCGGTTACGTTTATTCGCCCAGCAATTAAAACCACAACCAGCATCACGACACGGACATAAGCCAACTTTTATATTTAAAGATCTCAAGACATGCAGCCACGTTTATTTGAGAGATGATGCAAAGCGCAGGTCATTACAACCTGCATACACAGGACCTCACACCGTGCTGCACAGAGATGATAAAACATTGACACTGCTCATAAAAGGAAAGTCCATCAAAGTAACGATAGACCGAGTGAAACCAGCCTACTTACTTGATGAAGAACCACCAAAACACCAACCTGAAAAGGAAATTATCATAGAGAGGCGTACCAGATCAGGTCGCAGAGTACACTTCCCTGACTTTTACCGCCCGTAGTAACGGTCTCCGCGGGGGAGTGATGTGGCATCTACCTATCCACCTACACACACAAACACACACAGACACACACTAGCACACTTACTATGTATATTGTCATTTATATAATATATACATATAATAAATACATTTAATAATAACACGCACACATTTATACTACAACCATAATATTAGTATATTTACATATTTATTATAATTACACCGACATCACACGATAAAATAACGGCAATAGAATGTGCAACGAAAACGCACATTCTAACGGTATTTGCAGTGGAGTGTGCGGGGAGACAACCCCGCTCCGGCGCATCGTCCCAACCGACAGCGATTCTCTCGACTTCACGCAGATCGCATGTCGCCTATCGATAGCTTACTTATTTCGTAATTCTTTGTTTCCTGTATGTTTATTAA